CGTTGGGACTTACAGTGCTGTGCCAGACATTTCATAGCACCCGGTATGCTGCGTGGGGTGGGGGGGGTTGCCTTGAAATAAAACGTGTATGCATTGCTCTGTAAACTGTCACCAGTCCACAAGAGTTAAAACAAAAATTAGAAATATATCTAAGAAAACATCTTGCATTGGCAGGTGAAGTAATAAAAATGAAAGCTAATCCCAGCTCTGGGTAGACTTAAAACAACCCACCAATCTGATTGTTGTGTATAGGTAGGTCTTAGGCCCTCTTAGGATGGAGGAGGTGGTAGGGAGCAAGGGGCAGGTGGTGTTTTTATCCTCAGTCCTTGGCCCAGATTCTGAGGACAGATTGGATTGCGGGCACTTACTGGGCTTCCAAGTATATGAAGAGTTTCCATCCATTAGTTTAAATTCGCTAACATCATTCAATCCTATCATTTCCCTTGTTATGGGAAGAATTATATTCTAGTGTCATGAGGGAGCAGAAGACCCTATGAGTATTTTCCCAAAAAGTGAAGACTCGGAAATGTTGACAAACTTCTCTGCCTTGGAAGGCAGGAGTGTAATTACAGAAGGAGGGGCCAGGCTCTGGCAGCTTGAAGCAGAGCCACCCACGGTAGACGCTTCCACTGGAAATCTGAGCTCTGACCCACCCTGGCCCTGTCGCTTTTCACCCCTGGGACCACACCCTCCAGGTGTGCGCTTGAGGGAGACCATGGCTTCTGAGCAGTGGGCAGATCTTCAGATGCTTCAGGTGAAACAAAGGGATCTCTCTGCCTGGGACAGTTTGATGCCGTAGGGTGTCTGTTTTTGTTGTCCAATGGATGCCTGAGCCGCAGCCTCCAAGGCTGCCCGCTGGGGGAAGCAGACGACCTCATCTCTCCCCTTGGGAGCAACTGGTGGGCGCCATGCAGTCAAGTGCTTGCTTGCCCACTGTTCTGCCAGGCACCTCTGCTGTCAAAGAGGGACAGGAGTCCTTGGGACTTTCACCTGCCTACTGATGCAGGAGAGACCTTGAAATGGGAAACAGTGGTGGTGTGCTTTCCTGTTACAATGAATCAAGCAGAAAATACACTCTTCAGAGAGGGCTACAATGAATCAAGCAGAAAATACACTCTTCAGAGAGGGCTACAATGAATCAAGC